CTATATACTATATTTTTACTCTGTTATTCAAATTAGATAATATCTGTTAATCTGTATTCAAGCCCACCTATCCTTTTTCTGTAATATCCATTTTGCAAATGATCTTTGATCATCATTTGCAAAAGATCAATGATATTTTTATTTCACATATTGTACTTATTAATTCCTCCCTGTGCTTCTTTTTTATAGTTTCCACTTTTTTTAAAGTTTATTTATTTTGAGAGAGAGAGAGAGAGAACACAAACAGGGGAAGAACAGAGAGAGGGAGGGAGAGAGAGAATCCCAAACAGGACCCACATTGTCAGTGCAGAGCCCAACATGGGGCTTGATCTTACAAACTGTGGGATCATGACCTTACCCGAAATTAAGAGTCAATCACTGAACCAACTGAGCCACCCAGGCACCCCTCCATTTATCTTCTGAGATTCTTTATTTACACATGCATTGTAACTGTGTCTTTTTATCCTTAAACATTTATAATAGATGGTTGAAGTCTTTTTTGTCTTCTATGATCAACATTTGATTCATCTTAGAATCTCTATTACTGAGATTTTATCTTGATTATGGATCACATTTACTACATCTTAACATGTGTAGTAATTTTTTAAAATTATGTGCTGGATGTTGTTAATGGCAATTACAGGTAGTCTATATTAGGTGGTCTTTCTATGAAAGGTAGTGAGTTCTGTCCTAGTGACTAGTTTCATTATCAGCAGATTCTTTTTGCCCTTTCTGTCTTGGTTTCATTTTTTGGCAAGACAAGTCTACTTTGGTTTTGAACTTAGTTAATGAAGATGACCCTCACTTTTACTGTGGGGTCTTTCTGGAGTCCCAACTGAAAGTATGAGGTGCCCAGTGAGTTCTCTTCACTCTGGTTGGGATTAAAGCACAGTGTCTTCCAACAGCCCCTGGTCTCTGGTATTACTGTTCAGCTCTCAGCTACAGATTTCCTAGGGGGAAATCTCTGCTAGGACTATTGAATCTTACTCTGTAGAAATGCCATCTAGACCTTGACAAACAATTTCTAGAAAATCCCAATAAAAACTACTGCCATTCCAGTGCAGTTCCCTTTTCTCAGGTAGCCCACACTGCAAATTCCAGGCATATCAGCAGCCCTAACTGTTCTCACTGCCTTTTGTCTCACAGAGACTTCAATTCTACTGGGGTCCTGCTGTTACATTTAATAGCAGGGAAGTGCTTCCAAGCAGAAAGTCAGGAGGGTAGTGGAGCTCATGTTGAGCTTTTTCATTCTCTAAAAGATTACCATCTTGTGCTGTGTTTAGTTTAATGCCATAGAACAGTTGTTTTACATAATTTGTGTAATTTTATATTTATTTATTGTGTGGGGAGCAGTAAAGTACTGGTTACTCTACATGGTTAGAAACAAATTCTAACAAGACGTTTTTATTGTTAGATAAAGGAGATAACGGAGATTGCCATAGATGAGACAGATTGAAGGTGGTAACGGAGGCAGGGGCCTTTAGAGTTAATACAGAGCTTGTGACTCAAGGGGTTTTGCAACAAGATACATCTATACTTTAAAATACAAAAATGGAAGAGTGATGAACTTAGGGATCGGGACAATAACACACTTGGTGGTAAGTCTTTGTGGAAGACAACAAACCTGATTAGAAATTAGAGATAACATATGTCCAGTTTTTTCTTTCTGCTATTTAATTTAGCAAGTAGCTGTCCCATTCAAAAATAAGTCATAATAAAAAGAAACCAACCCTGAACTTATGAATAATTATAAAAATGGAAGAATAAATTAATATAAACAAAATTCTACTAGGGACTATATAATGCAGAAGGAATTACCTAAGCAAAGTTATCAATAATTCAGATAGAAAATACACTATATTTTCAAAGATTACAGAAATGTTATTTTTAATTTATTTTATATGATGAAATATCAAAAATGTTCAAGCATTTCATTATGATTTTATAAGACAGTAGACATATATGAAAAGTAGACTGAGAAATATCAGCAAATAAGTGAAATAGAAAACATAAACCAAAGCTTTTGATGGCTCCCCTCTACACACACACACACACACACACACACACACACACACAAATAAACACAATTGAGAATTATAAAGAGCAGGGGTGAAAAAATGAAAAAAAAAAGGATATAAGCATCACAAACAAAATGTTAGCTGTAGAGACAAATGAGACAAAATAAAAATAAAACCTGGTTGGTGTTCCTAAAGAAAAAAAAATGGAATAAATGGAAGAGAAAAACATAAAGATATAATGGAAGCAACTTTCGTAGAATAATTATAGTCTGAGAATAATAGATGGAAATAGCTATCAAGTCATGCCATGGTAAAATTTCTGAACAGCGGTGTTTGTGAAAGACCTACGTGGCTAATGTGCATAGAAAGCCTATCATCCACAAAGGTAGTTGAGTGGAAATGGGAACAGAGATTAGGCTGGCTTCAGACTTTGCCTGTGGTATAAGACAGTGGAAAATTTCTTCATAAACATTTGAGAAAAAATTGATGAAACAAGATATTATAGCCAGTGAAAATTGCTCTTGAAGTAATGAACGATGAATAAAATGTAAAAAAAATATGGGTACAGAGGATTAATTTAAATATATGTTAAATAAAAATTAGGAGGACAGGTGGGAGTCACTAAGCAACTATGAAATTTGTGAATACTGATCAAATATGTGTTATGATTTTTGATGTTGTAGTATTAACAATGTGATTTTAAAATTGAGAGGTAAGTATAAAAAGAGGGAGGAATTATACATTTGTTCATTTCCTTTTTTAATTCTACTTTTCTATAAGTTATAAAATAATTAAAAATAATGTAATTTTAATATTTTTTCTTAATGTTAGGATGTCTCTTAGGGAATGATATTTCACAATAATAAAATATTTACTGGACTTTCAGCACTGCCTTTAATTCTGCTTATTTTGTTTTATAGTTAAATCCTATATAACTTAAAAATTTACTACTTTAATAAAATAAATATATTCTTCTTATTTTTCTGTTAAATCTCTCTCTGTCTCTCTGTTTCCCCATAAAGCTATGGAGAAAGAATAATTACTCTTCTGGAACAATTACCTTAATAGTTAAGTGTCATTATTTCAATATGGTGGGCATTGGAGTATAAACTTTTAAAGAAATGTTTTATACTTATGTTTTGGGAATCATTAGAAAATAGCATGTAAAATGTCTATATAACACAATAAGTCCTTAAAAATAAAAAAGAAATTATTCTGTACATTTTAGTACTAACCTCAAAAAAGGAAAAAACTGTCAGAAGTAAAATCCAGGCATACTTATAAATATCCAAATATATTAGCTTAAAGGACTAGGTATTATATATTTTAAGCTTATGAACCATATGGTCTCTCTTATAACTATGCAACTCTGCTATAGTAGTGGGAAAGCAGCAACAGACAAGTGTAAACAAATTGGCATCTTCTTTTTTTTTTTTTCAACGTTTATTTTATTTTTGGGACAGAGAGAGACAGAGCATGAACGGGGGAGGGGCAGTGAGAGAGGGAGACACAGAATCGGAAACAGGCTCCAGGCTCTGAGCCATCAGCCCAGAGCCTGACGCGGGGCTCGAACTCACGGACCGCGAGATTGTGACCTGGCTGAAGTCGGACGCTTAACCGACTGCACCACCCAGGCGCCCCACAAATTGGCATCTTCTAATAAAACATTTGCAAAAATAGGCAGCCAGTCTATATGCCATAGTTTGTTAACTCCTGATATATACTGACCCATATCTTCAGCTTTAATAATCAAACTATTATCAAGCTGTCAGAAATATTGAGATAAAGATGCTAACACAGAATGGTCCTAATTAATGAATTTATTGATTTTACCTTCTTGTTCCTGACATTAATTAATATAATACTTAATTTTGATATGGAAAGATTCAATCACAGAGAGTGTCACTGAGTAACTTACATGTGTTAATATATTCATAAATCTTAATATCTTTTGATTTTTTTAAAAAACATCAAAATCAAGTGAGGAGGAACAAACTTTGCTCCTAACAGTTCTTAGATGCTATGCTCAGTTTGACTTCTTCCCTTCCCGTTTACATATATGACCTTGGTCAGAGAATCCCAGAATGTTGGAGCTGGATTGGACCTCTCAGTACATCAAATTAAGTAATCTCATTCATATAGGAAGGAAAGCTGCTGGCACTGAGATTGAATAACTTGCTCCTGGTCACCCTGCTAGCTCTTGTCAAAGTTAGGAACTGGAACACGGTCTCCTGCCTCCCATTGCAGAGGTTTTCCCACTATGCCAGACTACCGAATATGGCATGGCTCAAGCCAGAAAGGAGCCAGTTGGTCAGAGCTTAAACAACTGGTTATCTTATTAGAAATATGCTTATATTGACTCCTGTGTTCTCAGCACTGTTAATTATCCTGCTTCTACTCTTTCTCTGTTTTTAAAATATGCTTATCACTGAAGTTCATTAAAAGCAATTAAGCATTACAAACTGGGAATAATGCTGTTCTGTATATACTCTGTTTCCTTAAAAAAAAAAAAAAAAAAAAAAAAAAAAAAAAAAACTTTGATAAAGTGGCAAAAGGCAAAACTGCAGTTTTATTTCTTTCTTAGTTATTTCTAACAGTAGAGATCAGAATCGAATTCAGTGGGTTTAGAATGAAGCCTGAACATTTGCCTTCCATTGTTTTCTTTTCTTAGCATGTTCGTTTATTAGATGGGGACCATTTTTATTTAATCATTTCGTGAGAAGGAATAAATGACAGTTGGTGTGACTTTATAAATTGAAGGTAACTTAAATTTAGTCAGTTGCATGCTACAATTCTATAAAGTGCTTAGGATGTCAAGTGACTATAGAATTTTCCCTTAAAATGTGGCTTTTGTATATTTTTGTCATTTACAAAATTACGCTTCAGATACTTAAATTATCTTCATTAGCATTGTGTAGACAGCATAAGAAACATTTAGGTGCTAACTCCTAAAACTTGAAATCTCCATTTCTGTCTACACAGTGAAAGATGCAGATGCACTTTGTACGGACATGTGGATTCTGTGAACAGCATTGAGTTTTTTCCTGGTTCCAACACTCTTCTCACAGGTTCTGCAGATAAGACCCTGTCTGTATGGGATGCAAGAACAGTAAGCAAATCTTCAGCCCTTTTTTAGGTGTTGATAAGTCTAATCACTCTTGGTCACTCTTTAGGTTCTGGGTGCAACTTATAAAGTAATTGTGCAAGGGCATGGAAGGTAAAAAATGGGAGTGTGTTCCTATTTACAAGGTCTTGCTTAGGTACTCTTACCTACCGTGCCTCCTGTATGTGTAGGGGTTACAAAAATAATGCAATGACTTCATTAAACATTAATTCAACAATTTTTTATTGAGACAGAAACTGCTGGTTCAGGAAATATGAAAGGGGAACATGTAGTGCTTCTCCTTAAGGATCTTGTAGCAAAGAGAAACAAGAGATTATCTTAATGCAATGAGGTATGTTTTTAAATGGAAGAACATACGAGAGAGAAAGCCTGGAGAACTGTCATCTGCCTGAAAGGGTATTGATGGCTTCCAAGAGGAGTCTGTGCTTGGGCTGAGATGTGGAGGATAAGTAGGATATATCAGGTAGTCTGGAGAGTGTGGACTCTGGGAAAAGGTAGTGCATGTACAAAGCAGTAGAAATGTGAGGCTCAAATAGTATGTTCTGGGTGTAATAATATGTATGAATAGAGCTTACAGAAGAAGAAACAGCAGGTAAGAGTATTCAGATAGACAAGGACAAGGTCATGAAGTACCTGATTCAGGTTTTATAGTGTTTCGGGGGCAATCTGTTAGAATGTCAAGGAAGCAGGGTAACACAATCAAATTTGCCTTTTAGAAAGACTAATATATTATGGTAGTTGAGTAAGGGAGTCTGTTTCATTGAGGAAGTTGGTACAACAGGCTGTGAGTGGATGGGAATTTGAACCAGGAAACTAACAAAAAAAA